GATTTAATAACACAAATAAAATGTGCTGTCCAATCTCGCTATAGCGAATACTGCTGCAACGAAATTTCTGCAGCAACGAATAATTTTCGATTCCGTGTCAGGCGGCCAATGAAAACAATCAGAAAAATGTCTCGCCGCAACAAATAGTTTTTCTGGGTATATTCAAGCTCATTAGTACTCACATAAGAAAAAGGAGCTTCCATAGGATTGTCATGAAAGTTCGTTAGCAACTCTACAATTTCTCGTTGCCACAACTGTGTGGCCGCATCCTAAGATTGGTGCCATCATTAAAGATGCACGCCTTCTGCCACCACGCGCACATCCCGGTAAATTTTTCGCCATTGAAAATCTTTGAGGACAGGTACAGTCGATCCCGGATATATCCAACTCGAAGGGGATTGCGAAATAGTTCGATATATTGAGGATTCGAAATACAAATTATATGCATATTCAAGGCGTAAATTGAAGAATTTGAGGCCTCAGAAATAGTTACAAGAGCTAACATAACGATTCGCTCAAAAACAAGGTGCGAGCTGCAGGTTACCCCTCTTTATTTAGTTCGTAAACTTGTCTTGCTTCTTGCACGCCGTCAAGTGCCAGTCATCCTTAATATCATTGAAGCCCTTCAAATAAGCGAACCTAACTCCTTCAGCCACAACGTTGATTGACGCAGAACACCAGAATCGATGCAGTCAGAAACATCGTCATCTGTACTGATGAAGTTCTGAGATGGTGCCCGGAAACGTTGACAAGTCGCAGAATTCACTGAGGCATCGTACGCCATTGTCAGTAGCCTTGACGCACCCGAAGTCATCACCTGGCCCAAAGGAACATTTACGACAGTGTTTTACTTGTCGTGGCTCCAAGCGCCAGTCATAATTTTTATCGCTACGTGCGGGTCAACGTTCAGTTTAACTCTCAAATGAGGATTTTTCAAGAACGAGGCGAGAAGGCCACAAAGCGCAAAAGATGCAACGCCGAGTTCGCCGGAGTTCTCATTGTCAACATGTTGGCAATATCGATGTCACTGTGGCTTTGTAGCTGACAGCCGCTGCTTTTAGCGGCTTTGATGCAAAACAATAAAAAAAAGAAGCGTAGCCTCCGATTCATGTGTTCTGAACCAGAAAACTCGTAAAGAATACGTCACAAATTTGCACATCACGAGGGCCATGCTTTTCAGGCTTGCCTGCCATTGTGCGTTGACAAACAAGGAAGGAAATGAGAACCGCATGCGAACATTGCACTGAAATCACCGAGTCACTTCGCATTCTCTTTCAGTGCCATCGGCAATCGGTCTTTTGGAAGACACTATGGCCGCGCGGTAAAAACTGCAGATCACTCATCAAACGTACCGATCTACGCGCAAGTGCCGTGCAACAAACCAGATCAGCGCGATGAAATGACACTGTTTTTTCGTCGCCTGCGTGTGAAAAAGGATCGGAACTTGCTAGAACGTCGCCTAAAATGGATCAATATTTGCTAGGAAAATTGCACTTTCTGAGCTTCGGCGTTCAATATAGCGGATTTCCTGCTGTGCGGGAGTTCGATATACAGGTGCACCGGTCCTATTCTTTTGCATGGGAAATTTAAGGAGATTTTTCAACTGTTCTATATAACAAATAATTTTATATATCCCAGTTTGATATATTCGGGATTGACTGTAGTCCATCAACCATGATGCTGCCGGCAGGTTTGATGAGCTTGCGGGTCGAGGCGGAATCGTTCTGCATGAACTTCTACCCTGTTTTTTGATGCAGCGCTCGAAGCGAAGCTACTGCTCATTGTCACTATACTCTGCGACAAATTTTCTCGACATTCGAGCGAATGAGGTGGGGCTTCCACACATTTGTGTTGCTTTGCAAGTAGTGCCGCAGCTTGCTGCTGATTTTGGTTTCGCTCGCTGGCAACGTTAACAGGCTTAAAAAATCATATGCAAGAAAATTATGGATGGGACAAACATTTTAATTGCTCAGTGTACATTTTAGTATTGTATTACGAGTACATTTTTTTTTTTTTTTTTTCGAAAACTAAACAGCGAGTCTGCGACCCACACTGACGTCACGAACACCATGTCTCTTTGGAAAACGGGGTAACTCAAAAGGTGGTGCTGTCTAAGAAATGGAAAGAAAAGGCAAGAATTTTTTCCAGGCGAACAATAACGGTATTTTATGCACAACTTCCTGCAGCTGTCTCAGTCTGATATTGAATAAAGCAGCATTTACAGTCGAACTCCACTACAACGAACGCCGCTTCAACGAAAAATTCATGATTCCCCCTCAGCAGTCCGTAGGATTCAATGCATAAATATTGTCGCCACAACGAACACTTTTTCTTATGTCGTCCCGTTTCAACGAAATTTCACGATGCGATTCCAGGTTCAGATACTTATTGCTATGCACTAAACCCAATCTTTAACATTTCGATGCACTTTCAGAGCCTGAAAATGCATCAACGAAGTCTAAAACACTCGTTGGCACCACCAGAAACCGCCGCTGTTGAGCAAGCGTGGGCGCAGTCATTGCTCAATAGCGATGGCGATAAGACTTCGCTGGTTTTGCCACTGGCTTGCTTTTTTTGCCACTGGCTTGCAGTAAAAGCAAGCCACTTGCTTGCTTTTGGGCCGCAGACGATCCGAAACTGAAGCTTATCGCTTAGTTCATGGTTTCCTTCACGCTGCTGCTCGGTGCAACCGCGGAACAATGCCTTTTCCGATGCTTCTCATTATGTTCACGCTTTGCCAGTATGGTAACTAATCAGTGCGGCTGTTCGTCCGCATTATCAACAAAATCAGCTAGCTGCGAGTGATAGATGATAAGAACGACATAGAAGTTGCCGCTCCACGATACCCTGCCTCCATCTCGGCGTTGTCGGATACACGTTGAGGGCGGACAGCTGCTGTTGTTAACGTGTTAATGCAACTGTTTGGTTCGTTCATGAAGGCAGTCTTAGGCGTTGTTTCTGCGTGCTTTTCAGCATGGTCTCACTATGTATGGGTGAGAATCACGTCGTGACGCTGCTGGGAAAGAATGAAAAGCAGCGGACACTTTCTGAATCTTGAGAATAAACGTTTCTTTGTTTTTCTAGCTCAGATCGGCTGTATTTTTTGTATTTCACTACAACGTAATTTTCGCTTCAACTTTTTCCGTACCCCGTGAGTTTTGTTGTAGTGGGGTTCGACTGTATTACAGCAAGGGACGTGAAAAAGTTATCAGAAAACCAAAGCACTATTTTTTGGCATAGCAGCAGGCGTGCGCTTTGGTTTTATAGCTTCCACAGTGCTGTCAAGAAAAGTTGTCGCCGAGTATAGCCTCGCTATCGTGAATTACAACCACGGTGTTATAAGTACGCAAGTGCAGCCAGGCACTGCTAGCCCAAGCGCAATTACACACTACCGCAATCGCTGTGAACACAAGTGCAGTCGCGTCAATGGGATCATGGGCAAACACGAAAGTACAGTAGAATCTTGAGGATAAAATTACGGTTGATGCGAATTTCACGATGATACGAATTTGAAAGTTACTTCGAAGGGACTGCATTATATAAAATACGCTGTGATTCAATGTTAAGAATGGTTTGCTCAGCCACCGCAGATGGTACAAACACACGATTGACTGCTGCACACGAACGGCGTAACACGGCTTGTCTGTGAGAAGGCCTGTTCACACTGTGCCTTAAAGGAAGTGAAAACGACAAAACTCATTGGAAGTTTGCTCCTTTCGCCACCTAAATGGTCAGAAAACTACGATGCTAAGTTGACGTGAGAAAATCAGCCCGAGAGCAATTACTTAAAGCTGAAACGATATTGATATTTTAGCTTAAAGGGAAGGGGGGGGGGGCTGAAACACTTCTTCAAGTAACCATGGAATAGATCCACTAAAGAAGCTTATTGCCTCACAAATTCACAGCCTCAAAAGTACGAGCGGAGTTGCAAGGGTTTATCGCACGCTTCCTTTGCATTCTTTCTTCTCGTCCAGATGAAAGCTCTGGAAGTTAAGCAGGGAGGGATGGCACGAAGAAACAAAATGCGTCATGCGCCTCAGGATTCTCCCTTGCTGTTTTTTTTTTTTTTTTTTTTGCTTCGAATACACAACTTTTCCGTTCGATTACGCGCGCGGGCAAGTCGCGGCTTTCTGCGGCAGCTTGAGTAACGATCAAGCATGCCATGCTCAAGTCAGCCAATGGCTGTGACGAGTAATTTCTAAGCTTGTGGCATCATTTGCCGGGAGAACAGAGCAATTTTTAGCTGACTTGGAGAATTTATTGTGAATGGCAGGCCGCGGTGCTGCGTTATAATATTTGGTGGATCGCGTGTTCTCGGTAGCCTCAAGTACCGATTGGCAGCGTTTTCTGACCATGCTCAAAAAGTGTTGCTGAGCCCCTTCAAATTAGATGTGGAGGTTCGTGGCAGAGCGGATTTTCTTTGGGTGGGTGCTTTTACGGCCTAACGTTTCCACACTGCAGTGAAACCACCTTTACAGGGGGTTATAGGCGGACTAATACGTTTATTTGTTCATTGTAAATACATAGAAATTTTCACTAATTTCAATTTGTATCAAAGCAAATTTTAATACTCTACTATTTGCTAGAATATTCAAAGCATTTGAATACTCGCATAATCCTACCAAAACTTGCTCCAGAACAACCTAAGCCAGTAGCATCACTGCTGAGGCAAGCGTCACCCTTCATACTGCATCTCAAGTGATCTCCACGCTATGCCAGCGCTACTTTTCGCAACAGTGACAAAACCTGGCTGCTTCTCGAAGCTAGTTTACAAACTGAGAGTAATTTTAAAAAGGTTGGCCATGGCTGATGGCATGAAGAGTTTCATCGCTGTCGCAGTTAAATGTTTCGCATAAGGGCCGTATATCTTTTTATTAGAGTGTTTAGAAATGCCTGACTGATCATATAAGATTGCCCCATTGGTATCGCGACAGTATTGGGGGCATTACCTGTGTGCTTTGGCTGTTTGTCTATTCAACTGTCACTTGCGCTTGCTGCAGGCAACGAGGACTCCGATGATGATGATGACCACTATCTCCATCCAAGCTTGTTTGCCGCATCAGCGCCAGCTGTGGTGAGCTCCTCTGTTCTTGACTATCCCTTTTTTTTTCTCCTTTTACAATGGAGTGATGGCATAATTGTGTCTGCTTTGTCGGTTTTTCTCCCTCCAGAACTTTTCATATTGCAGAGGAAAAGCAGGTCACTGTTTCCTCACTTGCGCTGCACTTGTGCTTTATCTTCCATTAATCACCACAGTCTGTTTTAATGAAGAATGACAGAAAAAATTTGGTTTATGTTAGCATTGTTAGGTTTTTGCTGGTTATGTTTTTTAAAACTTAGTGCCACACAAGAAGTAGCCATTGCTTGATGGTAAATGGACTTGTAACCTGCCTTAGATGTGTGTGGAGCTGTGCAAAGAAAGTCTGATTAATTTCTCTGCGGGCCGAACTTTTTTTAAAGGGGTCCTGCAACCCTTTTTGAGCATGGTCAGAAAACGCTGCCGATCGGTAGTAGAGGCTCCTGACAACACGCGAGCCATATATTATAGCACAGCATGCGGCCTGGAATTCACAATAAATTATGAAAGTTAGCTAAATATTCCTTTCTCTTCTCCCGACGAATGGCGGAATATGACCAAAAATCGCACGTGAATCGCCCATTTATCAGCCATTGGCTGATTTGAACATGGCACGCTCGCTCGTTATAGAGATCGCATTGGAAGGCCACGTCTTGTGCACACGTGCGCGTGCGATCACACCGGAAAAGCGGCGCATTCGAAGGGAAAAAAAAAAGAAAAAAAATGCTCAAGGCCACAAGGCTCGTGTGACCTTTTTCTGTGTCCCTGCCATCCTTCCCTGCTTTGCTTCCTGCGCTTTCGTTGGGACGAGAGAAGAGAGAATGCAATTACAGCATGAGACAAACCTTTGTAATTCCACTCACACTGGACGGATTCTTAAATTTCTTGCAGCGTTGAATTCGTGAGGCAATAAGCTTTTCCAGTGAATTCATTTCGTGGTTACTTAAAAAAGCGTTTCAGGGCCCCTTTAAGAAGTCCAGCCCATAAGAGTTTATACAGTACATTGTGTGTTTTCTCCCATGTTTATTAATCAACGCAGTGCTATATTTTCGTTACCCCCGTAATCTCCTATTTAAATCTGAATACATTCAAGGTGTTTCAAGGCATTTTACCATACAATAATTGTGAGAAAGATTGAAAGCTGGGCTAATTAGAAACTGTACCTGAACATTTTTAATATGCCACAATGACGATGCAGATAAAAGTGTGCTTTCTCTACCCCATAAATTTTTAAAATGATTTCTGCTCATGTATTTCTGTGTCCCCCCCCCCATGGATGACTGACATTATCTGCCCAATCCCAGTGGAGCATGACGTGATCATCACATGGCAACTGAACCTTTGTCTGCGTAACGCACAACAGCTTGCAGCTTCCTGATCTATTCATCACATGGCACAAGCTCTTGAGAAAAATTTGGCATATTTCTCATCTATTTAACAGCGGTGGTTTCTTCGCGTTAGTGTGGTGCGTTTCACGTTACAGTAAAACCACGTCTATAAGCTCTCATTTGGTTCATTTTTGTCCCTGTTCCATTATACAACACCAGTTCTATTTAGTTTATGCTTGTGGGTGGTATATGCATTCTTTTTTATCTTTATAGGTTAATGCATCCTCCATATTCACTCGCGTAAAGAACCCACTCGCATAATGAACCTACTGCCCCCCCCCCCCCCCCACCTTGGTGTTTGAAAAAAGGGGAAAAATTTTTTGATGTATATTTTTAGTGTATCTGTTCATTTTATTTCGGTATGATAGCCACTGTCATAGACAATCAAAACAATATTAAATTAAGCCATTATATAACAAAATAACAATGCAATAAATGTCAAAACATAGTTTTGCAACCATGCAATCAAAATTTGAAAGTCATGCCTTTTGGGCGAAGTGCCATCTGTTGAACGCAGGAGGAACCTCTTTGCTATTAGCGCTATACAAACATATTGGCACAAAAACAAAACAAAAAAAAAGTGCGTTACCTCTAAAATGGCGGGCACGCAGGGTAGAAACATGCCGCGCCCCCGCCATCTCGGAAGCCATGCAAAGCGCAGCCTTTCAACGCTGCGCTTTTGTTGTCGAGTTTGTCGTTGTGAACATAGTTGGGACACCTGCTGCGCAGAGTGCGTTAGGCGGGTACGTAACTACAAGGCTGTTTACAAACAGCATGCGCTGGAGCATTGGAGCAGAGCGGCTAGAGGACATTTGGGCGTCGATCTGCGCGTTTCCATTACGGTAGAAAACAAAAAAAGCTTTGGGCTATGAAAAAAGATTTGTCGCGCATTTCACTGGCCAAAACAAGCACAGCCATCACGCTTAATTCTCACTCTTATTACTCCCGTGACTTTTTTTCTCCCACGTAATAAACTCTCCCCCAAATTGGCTACGACTTTTCTGAAAAAAAAAAGTGGGTTCATTACGCGAGTAAATACGGTGTAAACTGACGGTGGTGCATTGAGTTAGCATTGCCTTGAAGGGCCTACTGTGTCATGTTCAATGCATTGAATTGAATGCCTTAAAACAGTCTAATAGATAGACTGCTGAAAGATTTATGGAAGAAAAGCCATTGAATATTTAAATGGTTATAGTGGAGTTTAGCTGAGATAAACATTCACAGTTTTAATTCCTTTTAATTGGTGCTAATTAAGTCATGCCTCAAATTTTTGCAATAAGAACTTTACAAAAAAGTAAAACTAATGATTGTTTTTTCACAATTTTTTTTGCCTGCGGGCATTACGGGGTTACTGACGCATGCAATGACTGACACAAGTCACCACTGAAAACAGTCCATATGTGGCATCTCCTGTGAAGCAAATTATACTGTGATCGCCACATGCGTCCGTGATGGCTACAAACGCACAAAGTTTAAAGCCAGTAAAAAAAAAAAAGAAAAAAGATGTGCACAACGTTTCAGTTGGTCGGTTCGTGGGATTTAACGACGCGGTACTGGAGAGCAGGAGTTCTAGATTAATTTGTACGGACATCTCACAGCTAGGAAGCCTCCAGCAGATCATCGCCGTCATGGCCGGGATCGAACCTGCAAGTTTCAGCTCAGCAGCCAAGTGTTGAAGTCACTGAGCGACCGCAGTGGCATGGAATATCTGACGTGCATAATGTCTTGAAAACATACTCGACTGTCCACTGAAACAGCCACTTGCAAAATGATGATTGGGAAAACAAGGGTGAAAAAAAAAAAAAGGCTACTTGTGTAATAGTTACAATTATGAGACTGACTGGGAAAGAAAAACTGGCGTCCTCCTAAAGCATTGCTGGCCAAGGAAGAGTAGGTATGGCTTCCGAAAATGGAAGATTTTGCTCGCTGCCAGTCGTGGATGCTATGCAGTGGGCCACTAGTAACCACACTTGTCCAAGCCAGCAGAAAATGCAACATACCATATTTACACTATTGTAGGTCTACACAATATGTCTTAAATTGAAATCTGACGTAGGGGGTTTGATCTAGAATCGAAAACTTGTTTTGGTTGTAAAGTCTTTCCAAAAATGATACTTACACATTTTTGCAAAGCTAGCTTTTCTGCAGAGCTTTCAAGAACTGCCGTGAAGCCATGTTGCTGCACCAGTTGCTTCACAATGCATAAAAACAATTTTTTTTTTATGAAATGTGGTTCTAGAGGGGTCGACCTACATTTGAGTCGACTTGTTGTGTAAATATGGTAGTGACTTTCAAACATTGAATGGCAAAACTCCAAACGTGCAATCTAGTCTGAAAAATTTAAGTCGAGGGTGTAAATTTATTCGAAGAATCATCTTTTAAACTGAATTAATTTCATGAGAACTTTGATGACGCATTTTTGAAGTGCAAATTTTTGTAGTCATAAAAATTCATCCATGGCTATTTTTCAGTGGCACCTTGAGAAACGTAACCATGCGATTCTAATTTTATTTGTATAGGTGGTAAACTCGGCATTGCAGATTCATTTCACAATAACATGTGGTAAAGTTTATTGTGTTGTGGATTTCAGTTTAGTACTTATTGTTGCAATTTCAGCATGGCATAGTAGCTAACAGTCTTGTTCATAGCTTGTGCTAGTTGTGAGCAAACGTTTGTGAAGTACAGTCTTCACTTGCTATACTTTTAAAAGTAACCATCGAATCACTTTATTAGTGGGGTTTATTGTCTCATGATCTAACTGATGCTAAAATTTTTTAATATCAAGTACGAGTAGAGTTGGAGATTTGTTGCACGCTGTACTAATTGCTCTTTTCTCTCATTCCAATGAGTGCACTGAAAGTGAAGAAAGGAGGGAATAGTTTCGTGAGAACCTTGATCAAAGAAGCTACGCCGTGAACGTGTCAAGGCCTTACCAACATTTCTCTTCTAACGTGTGGCTTATTTTCAGTGTAAAAGTGACCACACGCATGGGCACGAAGCAGCTTCCTGCAGTGGCCTCGGTAGCTATGCAGCTATCACTGCTCAAATCGGCCAATGACCGTGAATTGAGCATATGGCACCGTCATTTGTGTACATGGCATCATTTGTACAAAAAGGGAATGATTTCTCTCTGACTTTAGGAAATAATTACGAATTCCATGCCATTTCCTGCTCTCTGATGTTGGACTCTCATCTTCTCAGGAGCCTCGTCTACCAATCGGCAGTGAGTTGTGACTATGCTGAAAAAAAAAAAAAAAAAGTTTTGCGGGACACCTTTAAAGGGGCCCTGCAGCACTTTTTGAGACTGGTCACAACATACTACCGATTAGTAGTCAAAGCACCTGAGAGCGTGCAAGCCAAATAATATAGCGTAGCACGCTGCGCGGAATTCGCAATAAATTCTGAAAGTCAGGTAGGGATTGCTTTCTCTTTTCACAGCCATCGTATTGGCCATTGGTTGACTCAGCATGGCGTGTTCGGTCTTTACTCTGGCCACTAAAGAAGGCAGCGACTTGTTTACGCATGCGTGCGCGATTGCACTGAAAAGCCACATATTTGAAGGGGAAAAAAAAAAGAGAGAAAAAGCGCTCAAGGTCACGAGGCACGCATGACGTATTTTCTTTTCTTTCCTGTGCCATTTCTCTCTGCTTAATTACCGGTTCTTTGGTTGGGACTAGCAAAGAGAGAGTGCAGAGTGCAATTGCAGCATGGGTCAAAGTCAAATCTTAATAACTCTGCTCTGGCTGGACAGATTCTTTTAGAAAAATTTTTGGGGTGGGGAATTTGTGAGGCAATAAGCTTTCCTAGTGAATCCATTGGATGACTACTTTAAAAGGCCCTTACTTGAAAAGGCATTGCAGGGCCTTTCAAATGAGGCAGCAAAGTGCAACAAACATGCATGCAGATAGAGACAACAAAGCAAGTACTTATGTTGTCTCGTCCCTCTGTTAGCATATTTGTTGTTCTTAATTAAAGGAGTGTGTCATACTGTCAAACCAACTCGCCACTCTTAAGTGTATTGCACTAACAAGAGTGACCTTCTCATCCATTCTTTCGTCTGTTTTGCTGCTCTGTGCTTTTGAGTGCTGTTGTGTATGCCTGTGCATCTTCAAGATCTCAAATCACGCTGTGTTTGCCTGCCCCAGGAGAAATACCCTGCACGAACGAAACACCGTCAAGGAGGCATTGCGTGAGTTCAGGTGACATTGTGCTCACACAAACGGGACTCTCTTGCAGGATCTTTTTTTTTTTTTTTGTCAGCTTTTTAGAATGTTTCGTTGAGCTCATGATCAGGTCCAGGTCCCAATTGAAGGGAGGCAGTGAATTGATTATTTCTCCTTTTAAAATAGTATTGTGCGTATGTTACTCCAGCTGAGATACAAGCTTTTGTTAAATTTAATTAGTTGGAAGCCTTTTTTAGTAGCTAAATTAATAATATACCTACATAGCTTATGCCAAACTAATAGCTAGGAAAACTACGGGTGTGCGTGCTCTGTTCTACTATATGTTTGCTAAACCTGAAAATATCTCTACAAGCTGTATGTTGGTAGATTATACATTCCTAATTTGTTTCAAAAGAAAGTCGCAACTGTTATGTACAAAAGAAATGTTTGCGATGCATTTAGAGATATGTCCTTTCCCCTCGATAGGTCTTATACCAATATTATTTGCGGAATGTACAGCCTCATACTGAAATTTTCTAGAAAGATATCTTGCAAGCATGTGCTAGCTGCAAGGCAATTTCTTATCTAAAGGAAGCAAGAGTTGCCGCCCTTTAGCTTGGGCATTTTAATTCTTTGATTTTGGAATGTTTGAAGTGTCTCTAACACTGCTTGTATGTTATCTCTCTTTTTTCTGTGTTTGTCTCGTGTGCAGCCAGCCGCCGTTTCCAAGGTGTTTCTCTCTAAGGAAGGCGAGGAGAACGCATACTCACAGCTCATCAGAAACCTCAAGCCACAGCTGGACAGCCCTTCGGGGAATGGCTCACCGTGCGCTCCCCAGGATGTCGCAGAAGTGGCCAATCATGGCTACACGGATGGTGCAGGTGCGTGTCTGCTGCCTTGATTGTTTCGATGCAGCGTGCTCTTGTACACTAAAACCTTGCTTGTATACAGTCGACCACATCTGCGGTAAACACCTCACCAGTATTCAGGCCGGCAAAACTAAAGCATTTTTTTCTTTTTGAGAGAGAAGTATTCTTTGCGGGATGCGCAATCGTCATGCCGACAAGCACAGTAATAATTTTTCTAGTGGTGCCTTAAACATCACCTTCTATGAGGGCTTGATGTGGGTCACCTCAGATGTGGATGTTTCTGCATTTAATGGGGTACGTGGCAATGGGAATTGTAAATTTGGTCAAAATGTTCGGTTTTTCAATTAATTTTTTTCTGTAATCCTGAGACCATGTTTTACATCACAGTGTGCTTTTAGATCAAAATAAGTATTAGAAGTTGAGAAACAAGCATTTTACTGGTGGGCTGTCGTCAGAAGCTATGTGAAAAGTAGGCATAGCAAAATGCAAATTCGCAGCTTTCCCTTGGCGAAGTGCCACTATATTGGCATCATCATAAAGAGGACATATTGGAGCTCAAGATAGCCACAAAGATGCATTTCTCCAATGAAAAATAAAGCCAGCTTCTTTTCGAGTTCCAGCACGTTAAAGAACCCCAGGGGGTTGAAATTTCCGGAGCCCTCCACTACGGCGTCTCCCATAATCATATGGTGGTTTTACCCCACATGTCAATCAATCTTTTCGAGTTCCATTTTATCAGCTTCTAGCTCCAATTTTTTTTTCTCTATTTTTACAGGTTTCATTTTTTGAGTAGTTCCTGTCAGTCATCCCAGTGCCATTTCGCAACAAATTCAGCTATAGCCATTTTGTTTCCTGCACTTGGATTCTGAGGCATCAATGAGTGCCTTAAAGCTGTCCATATTTGTGTGCACATCGTACTGACTTTTGTAATTGGCTTTTTGTAAAAGTTGTTAGTAAGACAATGTCCAGGACATTTCAGAAAAAAAGTTGTGTGCTTACCTAAATATTAAAAATAAACCAGTAGCATTACGGTACAAAATGGACCCTTGTAAATATCCTTATGCAAAAATTTTGACAAACTTGTGTCTAATTAGCAAATTAATTTTGGGTTGACGATGAGAGTCTATCAAGTTTTGAAACTCACAAGTTATGTTAGATAGCTCAAAAGCGATTTCAGTCATGATATCAGCACAACAATTGGCATCTGCATGCCAAATTTCATCCCTTTAGTTTCATAAATAACAGAGATAATTTTCGTTGCCACGTCCCCCCTTAACCACCGTGGTTAGACGTCCCTGTAGATAACTGCTCTGGTAGGATGACCCTGTACATAACTGCAGTGGAAGGATGAGCTGGTACATAACCGTCGTGGTAGGACGACCCCAAACATAACTGCCGTATAAACCAATAGCATTACGGCACAAATTGGACCCTTGTAAATATCCTTATGCAAAAATTTTGACAAACTTGTGTCTGATTAGGTGACAGAGTCTATCAAGTGTTGTAACTCAGAAGTTAAATTAGATAGCCCAAAAGTGATTTCAGTTATGATATCAGCTTAACAATTGACATCTGCATGCCAAATTTTATTTCTTTAGCTTCATGAAGAACAAATATAATTTTCATTGCCACGTCCCCCCTTAACCACCGTGGTTAGACGACCCTGTAGATAACTGCTCTGGTAGGATGACCCTGTACATAACTGCAGTGACAGGATGAGCCGGTACATAACCGCCATGGTAGGACGACCCCGTACATAACTGCCATGGTAAGGTGACACTGTACATAACCACTGTGGTTGGATGACACTGTACGTAAACGCTCTGGTAAGATGACCCCATACATCACCGCTGTGGTGGGACAACACTGTATATATCCGCCATGGTTGAACAACCATGTACATAACTGCTGCTGTGGCAAGACGACCCTCTACATAAAGTCGTAATCACACAAAGAACCAAATCGCGACTCGAGCCGGCAAATTGCGTACTATGTCACCATATACCGTATTTACTCGCGTAGTCCTCGCACTCGCATAATTCTCGCACCCCCCACTTCGCCCAAGAAAAATAAGATTTCTTTTTTTCCTCGAGTAATTATCGCACCCCTGAAAACTGCCGCAATAATGTTGTTTGCTCGTTCCAGCCACTGATGATGATAGCGCGCACCATCTGGCACCATCTCTTAAGCATCAAGCGTACTGTTGCATGCAGGTTTAATTCAATCCAATCCAAGCCGAAGTGGCCAGTGCGCATTGCGGCGTATTTTGTATGCTGTGTCGGTAATCTTGGCACGTTATGGGGTGATACTGAAGCTACACCGCTGCTTCAAGTTGCAAGTGATAGACCTTGCACTAAACGACGGCAACAGGGCCGCCAGTAGGCCCTTCGGAGTCTACGAGTTTTGTGTTCACTACTGGTGACGCAGCTGAAAGCCACCAAAACGCGTTGGGCCCGCCGTGTGCCTAAAACTGGGATTAATGGTAAACTTTATTTCTTCAGAAGGAAACTGGGGGCGATTCTGTTAAATAGCCATCAGCCCAATACCTACGTCCTACACTTACCTTTTGAGGGCTCCTGTTGAGAGACGAACGCTACCGCTACGCCCGCAACGGCCACAAGCTTTGCATATAGTAGTATTTTAATTCTCAACTATTTGCTTCCACTCTTTGTGTCTCAAATAAATCTTGCCTTGTGTTGAACCTCTGCTTTTATTGTTGAGGTAAGTTCTAATTAGTACTTCTTAAAGCTTGCTGTAAGTTGCTGGTGTGAGAATCCCGATTTGCGGCCACTTTGTTTTCTTTTTCGCTCGGTACGTTTAAGTGAAAAGTTTTCCCCACGTAATTTTCGCACCCCCCAACTTAGCAGCAGTTTTGCGGCAAAAAAAGTGCCAGGATTATGCGTGTAAATATGGTACGTCAGCCACTCCCACTTCGGTCTGCACTGACCAATTCGTAACACGACAAAAACCCAAATCACTGTTGGGATCCTCAGGGAGCAAAGCTGAAATCCTCGCTTGTAGCGTGAATTCTCTCCTGTCGTGTTAATGCTGGCTGCGGAGGGATCCGTATTACGTCACGTGTCTGGCAACTGAACTGTCTGCAATCTAGTCCGTCGTATGTTAACCGCCATGACAGGGTGACTCTGTATTAGCTGCCATGTTAGAATGACCCCGTACCAGGCTTGTGTGAGGATTCAAGTGCTTCGAAAATACAAACGGATACTAAGTATTCGAATTTGCTTTGATATGAATTTAATTTATTGGAAATGTTCAAGTGTTCAAAATTAATGAATAGGCATATTAGTTCGGATGTTACCTGTAACTGTAATTTCATGACAGTGGAGGCGTGGTAAACTGTGAAAGCACTTATATAAAGGTTTACAGTCAAACCCCACTACAACGTACGCTGCTTCACTGAAATTTCCGTTACAACAAAAAATTCTCAGGGCCCTGTCAGCAGTTCATAGGAGCCAATGCATAAATATTCTCAGCACATGTGATGGCAGTGACGGCTCTATAGAAGAACGGCTACAAGAAGCAGTAAACAAAGTGGATAGACTTGTGCGAATAATGAATTTTAGGTTCGAACCGAGTTCGAAGCAAATGGTAGTTTTGATTGAATGATTTTGAATAGAATTTGAATAATATGTATGACATAAAGGAACATTTATTATGACCTAATAACCTGCACATTCTTTCTTTTGATTTGAAGTAGGAGCTCTATGCAAAGTCTTTTTTTTTTTTTTTTGTAAAGGAAGTCGAAACAACCTTGAGGAGTAGTTTCGGTAGGATGGGATTGATAACCTCAAAGATACTTAATGTCTTAAAATTTATTATATTTGGAGAATATAAGCCGTCATAACCAGCTTAATAAAATAAAAAATTTGTTAATAAATAAAGAATTGATTTGAGGGTAACATGTTCTTTTAAAGGGGCCCTACAACACTTTTTCAACTAGCCATGGAGCCAGTAAACATGCTTGTTGCCTCACAAATTTACTGCAGCGAGGTTTCTAGAATCAGTTCAGTACGAGCAGAGTTCCAAAAGTTTGTCGCACGCTGCAATTGCACTCTCCCTTCTTGTCCCGACGAAATTGCTGGAAGTTACCGTATTTACTCGATTCTACCGCGCCCTCGATTGTAACGCGCACCCGATTTCCACCGCGAAAAAAAAAAAAAAAAACGTAAGACATCGATTGCAACGCGCACCCATTTTTTTTTTGCTGGCCCGCACGATCACACCACTCGAAAAAACGATTCCTTTCGGGATTGTCTTCCATTTAAATATGAGGTACGGGCGAAGCTTGTGCCCATCTGACGTGTAACAGAGCATTGCCGTCACTGTAGTTTTACCGTGGACCGATGTCAGCACGCGAACTTGCTTCGCCCCCTTCTTCTCGACAGTTGTGGTGCCAGGCATGACGAAGTAAAGAGGCGTCTGATCGGCATTCCAGATTTGCCCAAGCAGGTAGCCGTTGTTGCGCCGCAAGTTTAGGACGAACCTCTGAAAACTGTAAAGCTTTTCATCGTAGTTCTCCGCAAAAGTTTTCGCATATGCATGTTCCCCTTCGGAGGGAAGAGCCTTTCCTCTTCATATAGTTAATTATTAATTAGCCAGCACCTGCTCCCTTTAAACAGGCTCCGCATTAGACTTTTTTCTAAGACTAATTGCATAGCCCGCACTTGGAGCAGTTCTGTCGTCATGGGCCGCTGTGCCACTCGCTCCTCAAGCACATACTCGCGGAGCAGCTCTTCAATTTGCGGAAACCGACCCTGCTGTGGTTCACTGAAGCCTTTGCGTGAAGCTTTGCTGTGGACAATCTTCTGCTTTTGTTTCCGCCGGTCCCGCACGCACGTCTCGAGAAGGACCGCGATGCGGCCCGATTTCCGTCCGTTTCTGCACACGCGATGACTTTTCTTTTAAAAGCGGCATCGTGGTGCACTCGAGTTTTTGGAGTCGGCCCTTCCAAGTCGTCGATGCTAATGCACTACTAGATGACGAACTCTTCAGCA